TGTCTGTTTAAACACACTGTGATTTCTTCTACTCTGTGTATTCCTTAAAATCACACTGTGTTCAATGTATGCTTACTGTTTGTATGCTTCACACTGTGTATCCCGTAAATTCACACATTCACTGTGTGTTCACTGTATGTAATTCAAAAACACAGAGTTAACACAGCGTTCACTGTGTGGACTCTATGTGAACACAGTGTGTACTGTGTGGATTCTATGTGAACACAGTGTGTACACACTGTGGTATTTTCCAAAGGGCACCGGTGGCTCTTGGTGGCCCCCTGGCCCCCATCCTAGATGCTCGCTTCGCTCGCATATTGGACCTCATGAAATGGCCCCCTCCCCCACCAACTTCAAAAAAATTCTGCCACCGTTGTGTGGTATTAGAATTAGTTTTGTATTAGAAAAAGATGAATTGGAATTCCTAGATGGTGGGAAATGAGTTTTCCCTATTTTGAGCTATGTGTCTATATTTTGACTTGCGGACTTTAAAATCCTTCAAAATTCAAGGTTTTCCAACTCTTGAAAATGGTCAGGTAAACTTTCTCATTCTTATTATGTACAGTAAATAGGCCTGTTATGTGTGTATACATAGGCCTACATAAAAAATGAGTAGTTGCATACGTGTTCTTTTCCCATGAATCGATAAACTCCCCTGAGAATTTTGATTTCTAGATTGCGGTAAATGAACTTTTGCGACTTCTGAGGTGTCTTTTTATGACTTAAGTTCTTCAAATTTCAAGGTTTTTGACTCTTGAAAAGGATTCCATGAATCAATGAATTCCAAAGAGAAAGGGAGATTCAGATTATCCGCAGGAAAATGTTGATTTCTAAATGGCGGGAAATGAGCATTCCCGACTTCTGAAGTCTTTTATTGACTTTTAAGTTGCTCAAAATTCAAGGTTTTCTCCTCTTTACGGTCCAGATAAATTTTTCTTACTTTTATTACAGCAAATAAGTCTTATGTGTGTATACATAAACAAAAATTGAGTAATTGCATACGTATTCTTATTACATGAATCTCAAAAAGAAAGGGCTCGTGGGTCCTCCCCCGGGAAAATGTTGATTTCTGAATGTGCAAAATGAGTTTTCCCGAATTCTGAGGTGTTTTTAATTACTTTAAAGTTCTTTAAAATTCAAGGTTTTCGCCTACTGAAAACGATTTCATGAATCAATGAACCCCAACGAGAAAGTGGTCCGGGTTAACCCCATGAAAATTTTAATTTCTAGATGGCAGGAAATGAGCTTTTCCAACTGCTGAAATGTTTGGCATGACATGTCACGAGAAGTAATACAAGCATGATACACAAATGCCCCCATTTCATGTGGATGCAGTTGCTTTCCATATTGGGTTGATTCTATATTCTATATGATTCTACAGATCATCATTGGAATCTTTAGAGTAGCAATACAACAACGTTAGATTCCTACAGTAGTGGCAGGTGACAGATTTACTACTATAATTAGAGGAAGAATCTGATGGCAGAATGGGTTATGATGTGTATGAATTAAAAAACATGGCATGTTATTGAAAAACTAAAAAGATTACATAACTAAGACATAGGTATCGAAGATATGGACAAGATATGAAAAATTTGGGAAGATATTAGGCCCCCTATGTATATTATAAACTATACAGTGTGTTATCAGAATGTATGAAGAAGCATTGCACAATGCTTCAAATAAAGTAAAAACAGATGACTTGATGAAAAATGGAAGAAATTTGGGAAGATATGTTGATCAAATCTTAAGTACCTAAACAATGTTTAGTCTGAGTCTATATAGTGATTGTTACCATAGTGAGGACACTGTATTTTTCTACACCACTGTTTCATAATTTTTTTAATCATAAATGTATGTGGAATTATTTTGAGATGTATTTTAACTGAATTTTATCCTATGATATTAATAACGTTATTACATTTTAATTTTTCATTATACATTAGAATGTGCTTAGAAATGGTTGTTATGGTAATAAAGTTTTGTTCTACACACCACTGCATATTATGCATTAATGTTATCCTATGATATTTAAATTTTATATAGTTTAGTGGTGATGATACCCTGTTGGTCTGATGCAATGAAATAAATATTAATAAACATTTAATAAACATTTTTAATGAAACTTAAAAATTTTCCTTAAGTTTGCTAGCAATGGTTGCTATGGTAATTACCTATTTTTAACACCATTATGTACAACTTTTTTTTAACAAAGACTGTGTTATTTTTAAAAAAAAGTAAAGCCAAATAAACAGCAATTCAATGATTTTTATTCGTTGCTATGGCGATAACAATCCATATTGTATTCACATTAATATGTTATCTTTCATTTATGTTATCGTACAATAATAATATTTACTTAACATCTCTCGCAAAACCTTTAATTATATCGATAAATTTCAGGGTTTCATTTTAATAAGTTACAAAAAAAATAGGATAGTTTAATTAGGAACAGTTGCTATGGTGATGACCTTGCTTTCATACTAAATTGTGTTTATCTTAGGATATTTAATAAACATTTTTTTCATAAATCCTATACTAATTTATTACTAAACTTTAGGCCTTCCTTATATACTTATTTTATGAAAAAATAGGAAATTTAAATTTGCATAGCAACAGTTGCTATGGCGATGACCTTTTATTTTATATGTCAATGTGTTTGCTCAATAAGAGATGTCTGTTATGTAAATATATTGTCTCATGATTTTTACTTGGTCAATGACAAATGTACAGCAATTCTGCTGATTTTGCTTCGTTGCTATGGACGATAAAAAGATTGTTGCTATGCAATTATATCAATGTTTCAGGATTTTTTTTACATAATCCTATTCTATGATAATGATAGATAATTCAGATGTTTAACATATTCATAAAACCTATGAAAATAAAGATTTTAATAAACTTTAAGCTACCTGTATACTTAAATTTCATGAATAAAATAGGAAATAGAGTAAGTTTTACCAATTGTTGATAATTATTATTCGAGTAATGTTATTTTTTATATAATTTAGCTAAAACTATAATTTAAAGCAGAAAAATGACGGCCATTTTGAATGTGTAATTTGGAGGTGTTCGCCTAAAGGGATTTTGAGTTAATTTTGAGTTCTGAACTTCTCAAGGCCTATATTTTAAGAAAATATCAAAATTAGCCGGTAGTACTTCCATTGCTACCTCGACGAATTTTAGAGGACTTTTTGGCCATAATCTCTTCGCCTATTAGGCATGTAGACCCAATAATTACCAGGGAAAACATACTTTTTGAGGCCATATATTTTCAGATGAGTAGGTCAACCAATATTAAAATTGCACTTTCGCTGTAGACAAGGCAATAACGTGTACCACTTACTAAATACATCCCACGGTTTGATTTATACTTGATAATGAAACCAACACTTACAATCAGATGCATATAATGCCTTCTGGAAATCCTGTACTTGTTCATTTAACAATTTTTATTAAAGAGGTTGATATTTATGTATATACATTTTTGTATATTTTTCTCTTTTCAGGTGTTGGTTTTAAAATAGGAATTAAAACCAATATTAAATTTCTTGTACTCCAGATTCACTATCGGCATGCAGACGCCTTCAATCGTAAGTAATATGACAATTGCTCCAATCAAGTTGGCAAGTGTTGATTTGCAAATATAAGGGTGCTGGATTTCATGTTTTCTATTAAAATATAGATGTAATTTTGTCATGTAAGTGCATGATGATATCATTACTGTACTGTGTTTTAGATTTTTTATCTGCTACACATCAGTTTCTTGTTTTTATATAAGTTTGGAGAATGTTGATGAACGCCATTCACCATATTCCAATGTTTTTGTTTCTATTCAACAGATGGAAGCGTTGATAACTCTGGTCTAACACTTACGATGACAGAACAGAGGTAAGGATCTTGGTATAAACAGCTTGCGCAAGTTGGGTTTGAATTGACTTAATTTTCACCGCGATTACGAGTAGGCCTACGTGGTTATTTTGAGCAATATTAATGAATCCAATATCAACACAGCTAGAGAAACGTCATTAGAAATGTTTATACAGATTCAACTGATAATACAAAATGAATTCTCCACAGTGGCAGTAACAGCTAGGTGAAGGTCAGGGGCAGTTCTCCCCCCCCCCCACACCCACCCTGCAATGAGAGGGATTGTGATAGAGTTGGAATGAATGGGACTGGTGATATATTGGGAGGATGAAATCGTCTGTAACTTACTTCACCTTTCTTACATGAATTATGTTTCAACAGCTGTCCCGTTTTACTTGCACTGTCTTATTATCTGAATATTTAATGTGCATTTAAAGAGAAAATATATTGGATAATTGAAGTTATGAGGAGAGCGTGATTTTTATAAGTGAAAGACAATTAGATTTATAGGAGGTAACAGATTGAGCATACAAGACTAAGAAAGAAACATTTTTCACAGAGGTCAAAAATTAATACAATATTTTCTACTACATTATATAATAGATTTTGAATGTCATAAAAGAATTTAAATTGATTACATAACTTATGGAGAAACTTTATCAACTTTACATTTTTATGTTTATATATTTCTAGTCAACCTTTTTTGGCAGGCATTCACTTACTCAGAACATTACCGGTCATTCCTCCTTATATGAAATGTGAGTAGCCTAAATGTGAATGATATTGATTTGTGGATGTATGGACAAATCCAATTAGGAAAGGATGCTTTCTACTGGGTCCGCCATTGTTGAGGACGTCATTAAGTCCCCCACCCACGCGTACATTCCATGTCTTTTTACGGTGGTGTGAATCAGGGTAGATTTCGATGAAAACAACATACTGTAAGCACAATAATTCCAATATTTTCATTTATAGCAGCCAATGCATTTCCCCTATCTGCATCGGAATTTCTCTAGCTATGGCGTCTGCAGAGGGCTAAAGGCCAACTCAGACAGCGATTTGCTGTCGCGTCAGGTCTGTGTGAGTTGAACGCAGACGCGATGGTGTGCGTCGGGGGCAGTCGCGTAGTAGAATATTAAACGTGTTTAATATTTCCAAGATATTTCTCACGACGGCTTAAGACTGTCCCCGACGATAAATCGGGTCGGGCTGCGTCGGCCGACGCTGTCTGAGTTGGCCTTTATAATCACTGTAAATTGATCTGTCTATAAGTGAGTTACCATGAAACATTGGATTGAAGCCCAGTAGGTCTACACTATTGGTGGCATGTGCTTTTATTTAGAGCCCAAAGTAATATCTTATCTAAAGAATCTAATCTAAAAAATGAACATGTTTTGTATATTTCTAGATTATAGTGAACAATTTGCTTGCGAATACCAGAATTCGGTCACTATCTACCCTTTTGCTTTCCGCATTTACTCCAACGGTCTTGGACGTGACATTTCCAGTTATCGCATACGTAACGGAAGGTGGATAATATTGGGAAAAGGCAACCCAATGCTGCCCCAGGTATAAATAATTTATAATAACAACTATACTTATTATGTCTGTTTGTACAACAGAACATAGGGCTTTTTCTCATTGCAATAATGATAAATAACGTTGAAATTACAACAAAAAAGTCGTTAAAAAGTATAATGTAAAAAAAAAAAAAAAAAAAAAAAAAACGGGGACCAAAAAAAAAAAAAAACGGAACCCCAAAATGCTTAAGTACTAAACAATTTATGGAGTAAAAAATAAATAAATAAATAAATAAATACAAAGTTCACAACTACCGCGAAGTTAGTGAGATTCGAACTATTGCTGAAATGATATTAGCGACGTACGTCTACTTCGAGAGTCACAGTACGCTCTATATGAGCCGACGTTGTATAGGCCAGTGCATTTCCCGTTCATAGTGATTCAGTGACTCATAGCAAAAATTGTTCATGCATATCACGGTAGTTTTGAGTTTAACCTAGCTGCAACTGGTTTAAGCGCTTTAGAAAACGCAAATTGCGTTTATAAAATTGAATCAACTGTCTAAACAAATCTTTAAATCGTCCACACCCTACTGCGGATCGTCACCAAATATGATCTTTATTTGACCATGAAAACTATTCTGCAACGTTTCGTTTTCATCCATTGATAACTGGGACGTCGGCAATTTAAATGACCCTCAAATTTACACCATAACCTGGACTGACCTCAACATATAACAATGTCTTCCTTTTAAACTGGTTAAACTTTCACTGAAAGTTTCATTCAGATCAGATGATCCGTTTTTGAAATATCTTGTCTGGAACGTTTTCTTTCGAATAGTCCTCAGATCAACACCTTACTCCGGATCATCACAAAAATGACATTTCTGTACAAGACCTTAGCAAACTGTTATACCATGGAGGTATACAAATAGAAGGAAAAACAACCAACCTAAATCCTATTAACTCAATGGCTTTCTGTGTGATATACTCTAACTTGTTCAATCCTGATTGGATGCCTAAAATTAATTCAAAAAGGCCGCTCTTGTCTACTGCGCCCAAGGCGACCATTAACACCGCGAGGTCACTGCAAATTACCCATTGATCGTAACTGAGTTGCCGATGGTCGCTTGGTATTCTAATCTCAATACGTGGCCATTCTGTGCCCCGAACATATTTTAATAACATATTATTTACACGATTTCATTGGTTTAGAGTACGTAGTAGTTCAAAGGTTTATCCTATTCGATCGTAAAATGCTGCCCTCTTTCAGACAAATAAGATTTGTAAAAATCCGATGACTCATCGCGACGTTATGGCTGAATGAAGATTCTAGCAACTACTCGGGGGAAAACGGAGATTTTCTTTCAAATAGGTCTCTCCAGATTATAAAAATATGATATATATGTATAAAGACATATCTATCTTAGTTTTTTACATGCATGTCGTTCCGGAGCGTTCCGGGCTCACAAAACGCAGAGACATTTCCCTTAGAAACGCGGCAACCGATGACCTCTTCAGCCAGTCTACACCGAGCGAGAGACTTAGCTTGCCTGTCAGCGGCCTAGCTTCCGGGTACATGCATTATATAGCCTAGGTTTACCATGTACTGTACCTTTTTCATGTTCTAACCTATGGAGTTCTACCTCCAAAAAGTATGAGGCAGTTGTCATATGGTCGTCATACAGCTATACTGTTCTTACCCGTGTTTTATTATAAAATTCGCAATTAGTTTCGAGTCGTACGTATGTGTGTTTCGAGTGAGGCCTATGGAATAGACGCAAGGCCTTCCGCAATTTCAGAAGTAATTTGCTATGTTTTCATTTTATAAATAATAATGATAAAAAGTCAACAAATAGGTACAGTCTACTGTTTTATATGAACAAAGCCAATAATGGTTAGGCCTATAACATAACTATGTATGTGTGCACGTCATATAGCTTTTTAATAAGGTTCCATAGAAATGTGTTTTAGTAAAATAACAGTTTATTCATTTGCTTTGGATGTCATATGTTAGCTCTGCCTCTTTTCGAAGATAAAAGCAGCCCAACAAATTCAGCTGTAGAAAACTATTATTATAATAGCGTAAATGCTGGAATATGTGCCGCACCAAACCTGATTTTTTTTTCTCAAGCAAGCGCTGCATAATAAATAAATAAATAAATAACACAATGAAGACAAGAATTTTAGTTATAAACGTTTATTTACGATGACGAAAGACTATGATAGGCTAATGACCTACGGGAATACGTGAGAGAGGAACATGGGAACGAACGTGAAATGCACCATGCCAATATTTTTTTAATGAGCTCTCGAATAAGCCCTGCACTAAAGCCTATAAATGTATTCGAGCATTTACGGGCTAGCGTGTAAAAAAACATGCCATAGTCAGCAAGATCAAGGAGACAATACCAGTAATTTATTACAATTTTAATAATGTATTATTAAAACTAGAAAATACCTGTGTGGTTTTCAACTGTAATCGCCAATGACAAAATCGGCTAACTAAACATAAGAAGTGGATGTATTACGGTCTGGCTAGGTATTCCGTAGATCTGAAGCACCGAGTTTCAGTGAGGTATGCTGTAATTATCAAGATGTAAATAACTCACATAAAACATGGCCACAAACTCGTTCTTGGTGGTGTACAGTATCATATACCTAAATTATAAAGGTTTTCAAGACTAAGCAGACAGGGCTTACGTAAATTTATAATATTGGTAAAATTATTAATGATGGCTGGATGATAGGCTGGCGTGCAAGTACTGCATGTATTTGCTGCATACAGACCAACTAGGAATGGTTGACCTCGGATGTGTTCGTTTGCATACTTGCCTGAGGGTATTGATAATGATGTGCGATACCGATGTTAATGGGTTTTTTTTTAATGTGTCGGCAACTCAGTTAAGTACAAAGGGTTGTTTCTCCTTCTGTTTTATACATCCATGGTTATACAAAGTTTCGATTATACCCATTGATTTTTTTAAAGAGATATTTAGGTCTGTGACCTTCAAAAATTTTAATGACCCTTAAATTTACACCCTCAATTGGATTGTCCCCAACACATAATCATTTCTTCATTGTAACTTGGTAAAACTTCCCCAAAAGTTTTATTCATTTTAATTGATCAGTTTTTGAGATATCTGGTGTAGACTGTTTGCCCTTAAATCACTTTAATTGTTCCTCACTTGCACACCCCACCCTTGATTGACACCAAATACTAGGAGGCACATCCTTGAGATATGGTCTATGCTTGGACAAAACATGGAAAAGTTCCAAGCATGAGAAGTGACCAAAGTACCGGCCAGACAACCCTGTGCAAAAAGTATGCAAGGAAAAAAAAACAACGGTTTTTTCACCTACCGCTAAGAAAGGCCAACAATAATATAAATTTTGAACTTCCTATACTTTTTGGATTACCCTAGCAGTAGCAGGAAAAGCCATTGCTTTTTTTTTCCTAACTTGTGTTTAGTCTGTTGTCTTATGTAGAAAAAAACAAAATTTTGGGTAGATTCTTGGCAATTATGTTAAAACAACTCTAAAAACACTACTGATTAAGAAAAAAGTGGGTGCCAGTTTTTTCATTCACTCCTTGGACCTCCATTTTGAAATTCAAAATGGCCACCTTTTTTAACCGATTTATTGGTATTAAAGAGTGTTTTTAACATTTTATTGTCATTGGGTAAGTATTTGGATACCAAACAATATATATATATATATATATATATATATATATATATGTATATATATATAATATATAATTTGTTACTGCTGTAGCAGCTGACTCCTTCGTCATTGGCGGGATTAGTTGACAAATATATATGTGTATACATATATAGATTAAAAGGCAAAATACTGAAAAACAACAATGTTGTGGGAAACAATGGCTGGATCTCAGTAGAGATACAAAAATGATAAGCAACAGCTAAAAAGTAGACGTAAGTAAACAGCCAGAAATAGAACCAGAGCTTTCGGACAACACTAGTCCTTCCTCAGTGGCGAGTGAGTGAGGGT